CACTGCGGCTGACATATTACTTTGTCTTATCAGCATTAACGGAAGGAAGAAACTCTCACCACATACAGCAATGTTAATATAATTAGATTATTTTGCCTTCCACACTGATTATGCCTGATTATTTCTTCATTGTTTTAACATGGCATTTAAACAATACACGTATTGTTGCCTCCTCCTAGTTCATCAACTAAATTAAAAAGTGATATGATGAGACCCCAAAATTAGAAACCTGCCTGTTATTAGTGCTACAATAAACAGTAAAAACATCAAACATTTTATATATTAGCCATCAGTCACACACTGAGGGGTGTCAGCATCATTAACTTTTTGTACTGACTTTGTATCTGACGCAACAGGGCTCAAATTGTTAAAGGTACCCTGTGGAGTTTTGAATGTAAACCATTAGTTTTGCTTTTATTCAAAAAGTGTCAAATACATTTCCTACCGCAGGAAAGAGTCACGTCCCTGCTAACATTTGTGTGTTGCTAACATGTTTTTTAATGTTTATACAAATGCTCCTTTTCTATTTGTACATTGAATTACTGTGCATTCCCGTAACCAACACTATGTGTGTCCAATTTAGGGCTCATGCATACTTCATACATTTTCATATTGTGTAGACCACGATAATTATGACTTGACAAGTTGGGCTGCTTCATTCTGTTTTTCCAGGTTCCAGTGCTGCACACATTTATATTTTGTGGTCTGTTGCTAGACTCTCCAGTCGACTGGTGAAATCATATGCTGTGCTATTAATCAATTCCTATGCTGCAGGTAGCTTCTATAGGATGACTATAACACATCATCAGAGAGCCATAAATCCACCTTAAATATACTCCGTCTGTTGTGTGGCCATCACAGCCCTCTGCAGACAGCAGAAATATGGAACATGTCATCCCCGTTCTCATTGCATAGATGTGTCCTTGTGATACTAGTAATATGTTGGTCCAATCAACATAACATTTCTCTACAGCAGGGGCTTCAAACTCAGTGGCCTTGGGCCACTGCTGGTAGTTTCTATACATTTTATATCATATCATTTTTGTTGTTTGCAGCTAAATAACAAATGGAGGCCTGAAACCTCTTCTCTTCTTATCAATCGTTTGTATGCATTTGCAAGCACCTTTTACCTTTGCCATTATAGCATTATGGGGATGCATGATATTATTTATTGTAAGTCCTCCTACCAGCAGACTGCAGTTTTTGTACTGTAGCTGTAATGCTTGAGGCTGACGCAGATGCAGACATCTAAAAATACTGCCCAATTAGTAACCATCCTAATTTATCAACCAACACTCTTTCCAAGTGTCCTCAATCACTGAGGGAGATGAGCCCAAATTAAGTGGGGGCAAGACTGTTCCCTTCAGTAATCAAAACAGTGTTAGAAACACACCGATCTCTTCCAAATAAGCTTGTGGGTTTTGGAGTAACCTGACTCTTATATGTGCTGAATATCATGATATACTTTTTATTTGCCCTATCTGTCACATCAGGAGGGGTCCTTTTAAACTCTTACTGGGACTCATTTCATTAAATGTCTAAAATAATGCTACATTTATCATTAATAGGAATAAACTCTTCAAATGTACAGCATGGATCAACAAGTAATCTCAATTTAATTTTATTCTGCCTGATACCTTTAGGAGGTACAGCTTTCGGGGAAGAAATTTGATTGACATGTTTTCGTTTTTTCTGTGTAGTCAGGGCAGAAAAAGAAGATTTCCAGGGTTTCTATGAAGAACAAACAAAAAGCGCAACTGTCACAAAAGATCTGCTTTTGAAAAAGGAAAACACAACTGGTCATGGCACAGACGCATTATCTACAGAGAATACACCTAAACACACTACAGCGGCAGTGGCTGCAAGGGCGGTCTTTTTTGACACCAGACCTACGGCACCTTATGAGACAACACCAATCACAAAAGCATCGGCTATAATTGCCTCACAGAGCAGAAAGCATTTTGTTTCCAGAAATGGGCAAAGCTCTCTCACATCAACGAGTGACAATCCATCTGCTTTGAGGATTCACACTGAAACAGAAATCCCAGTGATCTCCAATTATGAAAAGATGGTTTTCTCTTCCACGCAAGCTGCATTTGAATCAGTGATGAATGGCACCTCTGAGCCAGAGGTCCATTCGTCCACAGATGCAGTAAAAGCCTCTCTTTGGCTTCACACTCTGCTTGATAACAGGAATCAGAGAAACACTGACTCTATTACTCTCACATCTGCTGACGGAGGGCAGGGAGTTCCAATCCTATCTGCATCTCATCCTCGTGTAATTGATAACCTGGCTGCGCCACCTAATGACAACAATGACAAACGATCTCAAGGCAAGGATGAAAAGGGGATTTCAAACTTGGGAAGAAATGAGTATCTGTTCGGTGCGACGCAATCCATCTTCCAAAGGGATAGAGCAGGAGATTCAGTGAGAGGAAACACTGTGACAAACTTTTGTTTTACATGCCTGAAAGATCGAAGACCGGTGTCCACTGAGAAATCTGTGGCTCTGCCTGTATTGTCACCTGATGGCTCTTCAGACTATCTTAGTACAGAGGAGATCGCTATAGATTTCAGTCAATTTACTACTTCCTTACCCAGTTTATATGAACAGTCAATAGGAGAACAAGAAGAAATACTGAACCAAGAGATCAGTCACCAAAACATTAGCGAGCATTCTGGTTTCGGCATGAGGGAACAACAAGTTTACAATGTGACATTTTCTCCTTCATTCTATAATAAATCTGTGAATCATAGTCAAAGCATTTTGAATAATTCCCAAATCAAATCTTTTCTCTCGCATACAGGAACAGTTGCATTTGACATATGGCCTCTTGCTGAGATGTCATCAGCAACACAAAAAGATGCCAAGAAACAAGCAAGGCACACCTCTCCTAGTGAAAATTTTGTCACAGAGAGACTGATGTCAAACACCACAGCACTCTATCACTCATTAAAGTCACTTCGCACTGTAAGGAAACCAGTAAAAAAACGAGAACAAGAGATCTTTGAGAAAAAGGTGAACATCGGGGACCCACAGTCAAAACTAATATATCTCAGTAAGAATACCAAAAATGCTTCCCACA